TTTTTTTTCCCTCTCAAGATTTGGTTGCCTGAGACACAGTGAATTTGTAGGAAGGGATGGAAGCTTGATTCCTTTCAATATACATTTTGTTACTAATTTGGCAAATATTTACTAAACTAATGAACTTGAGGAAGTTTTGTGTAGTCCAAGCTATTGTTTCCAAGGACAAGAGAATTCATTCTGTCCTGGTTTGTTTGAGGCAGTAAAGAAAGAACATGTACTATGTAAACTCCTAGGCAGTAGACAAACCCTGTGGTGGTACAATAGAGTTGTGGCAGGTTTTTCCATTCTGAATTTCCAGTAGCACTTTGTACTTAAGGACAGGTTTGACTTGATTTGGGGGTGTGAGCTATGGTCACCGTCGGGTTGGAAGTAAATAGTAGATATGAGGGAAAAGTAATTTGGTACATGGCCATACTTTTTTAATTGTGTAACTCCATCAACGGCCAGGATCCAGAGACTATAACACCAAGCTCCCGGAAGAGAACAAAGCAGAGTCTCCTGTCCCCGTGCCTGGCTGTCCTCACCAGGGCCCCTCGGAGGAGGCGGGTTGAGTTTCCCTTTCTGCCCCAAGCAGAGCCCCAACAGCTGAAGACCTCCGGGACCCAGCCAAAGTCATGCTGAGACCACACTCCACACGCTTGGATGAGCCTCACGCATGAAGGAACCGGCAGAAGAACCCAGGTGTGTGGGACCCGGGGCTGAGATCTCCAAGTCTGCTCACTTCAGGACTGAGCCTCCTCCACCCAGCTCCCCCCATGTTCCAGTAGCTAGACAGTTACACCCACCAACTGCCATGTAACCCCATCAACGGCCAAGATCCAGAGACTATAACACTGGGGCTGGAGCAATAGCACAGCGGGTAGGGCATTTGCCTTGAGGGCAGCTGACCTAGGTTTGATTTCCAGCATCCCATATGGTCCTCTGAGCACCGCCAGGAGTAATTCCTGAGTGCATGAACTCCTGTGCATCGCTGGGTGTGATCCAAAAAACCAGAGACTATAACACCAAGCTCCCAGAAGCGGCTGCACGACTTCTTATTCTCTAGTTCTCGCTCTCAGAGAACCTGGCAGGCTACTGAGAGTATCATACCAGCACATTTGCCTGAATAGGAACACCTGTAAAGTTTATTTGTGTTTTCAGGCTACCGAGAGTATCCCACCCGCATGGCAGAACCTGGCAAGCTATGCGTGGCATATTCGATATGCTAAATCCAGTAAATACAGTGGGTCTCATTCCCCTGACCCTGAAGGAACTATTTCACCGAAGCTCTTCAGTGCCACCCTTAAGAACGTCATGCAATGACGGGAATGAGAAGGAATGAGAGTGAAGATAGATGGTCAGCAATTACACCACCTCCGCTTTGCTGATGACATTGTTCTAATAACACCAAACATCAGCCAAGCGGCACAAATGCTGACTGACTTCGACCATGAGTGTGGAAAGGTCGGACTACAGCTGAATCTCACAAAGATAATGTTCATGAGAAGCAGTCTTGTTCCTGACGTTCCATTTGCTCTCAATGGAACGACCACCTCCGAATGTAACAGTTATGTGTACCTAGGTTGAGAAGTCAACATAACGAATGACCTGGCACCTGAGTTGTGCAGGAGGAAGAGAGTGGCTTGGATCGCCTTCAAGAGCATCGAAGAAATAGTTAAGAGGACAAAAAACCTCTGGTTCTGGGCACATCTCTTTGATTCCACTGTTCTTCCTGCATTAACATACGCCTCAGAGACCTGGGCCCTATGTAAACAGGATGAAAACGCTATTTGGGTCTCCCAAAGAGGAATCGAAAAAGCTATGCTTGGAGTATCATGCTTCACTCAAATGAGAGAAAGATTTCGGAGTTCCGACCTCCATCGATGGTCAAGAATCAGGGATGCTGTCTTGTTTGCCAAGTCATCGAAAATCAGATGGGCTAAACGCGTAATGAGATTTGGAGAAGACCACTGGACTAGAGCCATTACCAACTGGATTCCACAGGACGTCAAATATCGCGTGGCCGCCCACCTATGATATGGTCAGACTTCTTCGTCAAGATGCTGAACGATCGGTTTGAGGCTTTTCGTGTTCCTAGAACAAGCAGATGCCATTGGGCTATGCTATCATATGACAGGGATGAATGGAGACGTTACTGGCGCCTGCTCGAGCAAATCGATGAATAACGGGATATCAAGTGATCAAGTGATCAAGTGACCCAAGATGTGGTTTTGGTTCCATCAGCACCCAAAGTTTAGAGTCCTGCCTCTGATTGTTCTTTTCTTCCCTGCTCTCTTTCTCTTCCCTTCATTCCTGTTACTGTGATGATGGGGTCATCGTACACTTGGCTTGTACATTTTGGTTGTGGTATTCCCTGTGAGTTTCACACTTGACTGTGGCACTCAGATCACAATAGCAGTGCTACTGGGACCCCACCTGGTGTGTGTGCTGGTGCCAGAGATCAACTTATAGGCTCATACCTGCCTCTAAGCCCTCCCCTGCTCCTTTTTAAGTTTCATTTGCCTATATTTTAAAAAAAATCTTTAAACACCGTGCTATACAAAGTTGTATCACATATCCAATATTCCAACATCAATCCCACCACCAATGTGCCCTTACCTCCACCAATGTCCCCCCTAACCTGCTCCCTTAGCAGACACTAATTAATTTGCTCCTATTCCTTATTGCAACATATGTCTAATAATAGTGTTGCTAAAATCATGACCCGAGGATTTCCTGTGCTGTTGGGTGTGAGCTGGACCTTCTGTGTTACTGTTTTCACTCATTGAGCTTAGTCAGTTTCTGCTCAGTTTCCCCATCTAATTTTCTTGTTTTTCCTGGGCTGTCGCTCTGTGAAATTTGGGGTATCGTGCGGATATACAGCTGTTCCCTCCAGAGGCTCTGTTGCTGGGACAGTCCACTGCTGGTGTCTCTCTGACCTCTCTGAGATCAGTCCTGAAGCTGGGCCTTTGCTCTGGTGATTGCGGGAGCTGGATGTTGGTGGAGCACTCAGCCTTGGGCAGGGCAGGGCAGGGACTTGGTCTGTCCCCATCCTACCTAGGTCTAGAGGTCTTGGCCTGGTGGTGGACCAGTTTTTCTGGGATAACTCAGCTGCTACTCGGATCGGGGCTGAGCATCCTCCACCCAGATCCTCCAAATTCCAGTAGGCGGGGGTGACACCCACCAACTGGCCCCCTGGCGCCATGTAATCCCATCAGCGGCCAAGACTCAGAGACTATAAAACCCAGCTCCCGGAAGAGAACAGCGCAGAGCCTCCTGCCCCCCGCGCCTGGCTCTCCTCTCCGGGGCCCCTTGGAGGGGAGCGAGTTGAGTTTTCCTCCCTGCCCCGACCAGAGCTCTGCAGCCGAAGACCTCCAGAACCAGCCACCACCATGCTGAGACCACTCTCTGCACACATGGAGGTACCGGCAGGGGAACGAAGGCACGTGGGTTCCGGGGTCGAGATCTCCAAGCCTACTCGGATCGGGGCTGAGCATCCTCCACCCAGATCCTCCAAATTCCAGTAGGCGGGGGTCACACCCACCAACTGGCCCCCTGGCGCCGTGTGATCCCATCAACGGCCAAGACTCAGACACTATAAAACCCAACTCCCGGAAGCGCACGGCCGCATTCGCGGCCGCACGACATCTTATCATCTCATTCCTACTTTGGACAAACTGGCAGGCTACCGAATGTAACCTGCCCACACGGCAGAGTCTGGCAAACTCCCCGTGGCGTACCCAATATGCCAAATACCAGTAACAATGAAGGGTCTCATTCTCCTAACTCTGAAAGAGCCTTAAATATGGCACTTTTTAAAAAAATCTCAGGGTTAGGATGAAGGAGACATTACTGGGGCCTGCTCAAGGCAATAGACGAATAACAGGATGGTTGTCATTGTGATTGTGATTGTGAACTCAGCTGCTGGCGTCTCACCGAAATTGGTTCTGAAGCTGGAGCTCTTCCTCATTCTTAAAGAGGGTTTAAGGCATGTTTAGTTCTGTTTCAGAAGGATACCAGTGTAGTGTGTAAGATTGCTTTTATAACATGGATATCTTCCCTCTAAAAACATGATTGTCTATTCAAGCCACTTTATGAAGTTCAAGAGAGCAGGAAGGAATGGATTCAAATGGATAAGTGGAAAGAGGTGCAATGGTCAAAATTAGTAATGATACGGGTGAAGTCCCTGAGCCACTTGGGTCCTCCTTACTGTTGAAACCTCTGAGGGGTAGGCCACAGGGAGCACTTTGGGGTGGGGAGGCATCCGGAGAAATGTGTGTGTGTGTGTGTGTTGCTCCCAATTGGTGCTCAGCGTGTACAGGGGCCACTTCCTGTGATACTTCGGCTACTATGCCGGCAGTTTATTGCTAGGGTGCAGTGCTGGGTGCTGGGTACTGTGGTGTCAGGGATTACTCAGGCCTGTCTAGTGGTGTTCAGGGCCCTCCACTCATACCCAGTGGTGTGTCTGTGGGGGGGCTCCAGAGCTGCCCCCAGGGAGGCTAGAGGGCCCAGTGGTCCCTGGCATGCACCCTAACTGCTGCACACCTTACCCTGCACCATCTCTAGTGCTTCTCTCTCGATTCCCTGTACCGAAAAGCTCCTGCAAAACGACTTATCACTGAACGAAACCCCCATTGTTAAAACACCGTAACGATGTATTTCCGCCAGAGCCAACCATGCTCAGCAGTCTCCAGAGTTAGAAATCTGTCCAAATCTTTTCTGGGCAAAAAAACAATTCGCGATTACCATAATTATTCTCACCACTGGATGTATTTTAAATGCATCTGAGAGCTGCTGCATTTTTCTTAAAGTTTTTTTTTTTTTTATATGAGATCTGCCAGTCATGAATTCTGATGGCGGGGAGAGTGAATTAATAGTAGTCTAATCACCCTGGAGACCCAGAGGCTTTTGTGAGCGGGTGCTGAGGGAAGGCTGCACGTCTCTGCGGGGATGACAAGTGAATGAGTCTGCTGCTCACTTCACCTGCTGTTCTTTTCTGTCCCTATTTTCTCTCCTAGGAAACAGATGGAGGACTGCTGCGACCCCGCCCATCTCTTTGCTATGACTAAAGCGAATTCCCCCATGGGGAAGAGCTTGTGGTACGATGGGGAGTTTTTGTACTCATTCACCATTGACAATTCAACCTATTCTCTCTTCCCGCAGGTTAGTAGAGCACTTGTTGTCTTTCAATATAGTGTTTTTTTTTTGTGTGTGTCCTGATGTCATAGGAAAAGATCATTGAGTTTACCCCACTGTGGAGATCTAATTCTGTTCATCTGGCTTCTTTGCCTGATTGTAAGTTTTTTTTCAGTAGCTGCCTTCTTTTGGTGAAGGAACCACTAACAGTCTGCTTCCAGGGCAGAAGGAATAGGATGTTATCAAGTAACGATCCTTGCAGCCTTCTGATTCCAGTCAGATGAGATCGGAGGAAGCAAGCCGGGCATAATTAGACAATTGGGGAATTCCAGTGTTTTGAGGTTGGCTTGGAATGGTCGTAAAGATCTGTGATTGGGACTGACGTTGCTCTCAGGGAATAGGGACCAGATGGTCACAATTTGCTTCTTAGAGCTCTTCAATCTTACCCTCTGTGGAGTCAGAGGGGGAGGTGGAGGGAAAGAATTCAGACACTTTAGAAGTGGTCTCCATCAAGCCTCACTTAGCGTTTCTCTTCTTAGTTTCCCTAGAGCTGAAATAAAACATTTTACTGAAATATATCAGTTTCAGCACGTTAGGGAGTAGGGGGAAAGGAAATCTGTTGTTTCCAAGGAGCCCGGGTTAGAGGAGAGGAGGAGTTCCAGGTGAAATTCCTGTTGGGGAGAAATTGAGAAACGGGGAGTGACTTTCCCAAGGTTTCGTCTCTTCTGATCTGCCCAAAGATGGTGCAGAATTCACAGTCGTGCTGTGTAGTGGAGGCTGAGGTGGAACCTTTCGATAAAGCTTGCTAGTTCCTCCTGAGGTGTGTTAGTCAAACTCAAGTGTAAAGGTAAAGGTAAAGGCCCTCCCGTTGATCGTCGATTTGCTCGAGCGGGCCCAGTAACGTCTCCATTGGAGACTTTGTTGTTACTGTGTCTGGCATATCAAATACTCTCGGTAGCTTGCCGGGCTCTCCGAGAGGGGCGGAGGAATCGAACTCGGGTCGGCCATGTTGGCCGCTTGTAAGGCGAACGCCCTACCCGCTGTGCTATCGCTCCAGCCCAACTCAAGTGTACTGATTAGTTTATTTTTAGGCATCACAGAGTTGAAGTCCTTATGAGAACCTCTCTGGTTTCTCTCTGTCCTTTCACCGGCCCCTTGGATCCTTTCTTATGTCACAGGAAATGATTAAAAATCGTGTGAGATTGAATTTTGTCTCCATCCTTTGCAAGCCTCGATGACTCTGGAGACTTTCTCCCCTCTCCTCCTGCCTGGTGGAGTCTGGCCGAGATCAGGGCAGTCTCCACACTTACACACAAGGCTCTGCGGCCTGTCCCTGTCTGTCACAGGCTGCAGAGCCACGTGTGTAAGTGTTTGTGTTGTCCTGCCAATGTGGCTTCTTCAGCACAGGGAGTGAAGGACGAAGTTGTACTCGATAGGGTCAAAGATTGAGAACAGAATTTCTCCGGGAGAGTTTTGGGGAGAAAGATACTCCTTCTTAGGGGGTTGGGCACAATATTGAGAAGAATGAGGAAGTGGGAGTTAGGTGGTGGCTGTGGGAGTTCTGAGTTCTGCAGTGACTGGTTTAGGGGTTGGGATGCCCCCACTGCCATTGTCTTTGGCATGACACCACCTACCTCCCACCAGGCAGAGCAGGGCCAGGATGATGGATTCCTGTCATCTCAGAGCCTCCTCCCCAGGCTCCCGCAAGTGCACATGAAGAGTAAGATTCATTTGTGTCTGGAGCACTCGTTGCACGGAGGTCCAGAATAGAATCACGTTGAACTACCAGACTTCAATAGGAAGCTCGGAAGCCGGGTGGACAGGGCTTGAGCGGGCCAGTCTGCTGTGTCCTCCTGTACAGACACTGTGAGCAGCTCACTCTGAGACGAAGAAGACAAGGCAACAGGCTCCTTTAGCAGCGCACCACATATCCGCATTACAAAAGGAATCTCAAATAGGGTTTTCTGTAGATGAGAGCTTTCAATCATGCCAACCGACTTCTGACTTTGCGCTGGAATGTAGATGTGGAGAAAAGAGATGATTGAGAATACAAACCAGTTTCCCCTCTCATCTGTCAGTTGGAGCAGGAGCAGACAGTGCCTTTTTAGAGAGTGTGCTCATCAGTTCTGTGTTTTGTGTGTTGCACGGCCAAGGAACTATGCCTGAATGAGAACAGACAACCCTGTGTTTTAGAGCTCATTACATGATGGTAGATGTGTGCACAGTCTTTGCTGAACCAATTTAAAGAATAGATTTTTTTAAAAATGAAGGCATATGTGTATTTTACTGCTGATGTTCTCAAATGATTAATTAGCTCATTCAAATCCTGGAAAATCTGTTTTAATCACAGACTGATCCAGGGCTGTATCCTTTTGCCATCACCTAATCATTATTTCACACTGGACTCTTCTTGCTTGTTACCGGGAAGCTGTGCTGGCAGTTAATTGACATCCTTTGTTTATGTCACTATGGGAAGGAAGTCATGGGTGCCCATTAGGCAGAAATACAGGTGAAGGGACGTAGCCCAATATTGTCAGTTGAACAAAGCATCCCTCCTTCATGATGTCAAATCGCACTAACACAGATGGATAACCTCACATTATTCCTTTAATGGTATATCTCAATACATTGGCTTTTTATTTATTATTTTCAACATAAACTGCTTTATATATTGCAGTTTCTCCTAAGTACTCCATGTATGTTCACTGTCATTATTGTTCTCATTATTCCTTTGTCTGCTTTTATGAACTGTTGTTTCCAAGTTGTAATTCAAAGTGTTTTGGAAAGCTAGCAGGCCCTAAATCAGGGCTCTATACTCCCACAGGGGTCCTGTTGAGTCACTGTGTATTTTGCGATGCCAAATGGAACCACTGTAATTACAGAGTTGCTTCTAACTCACTCTACCCACAGCTTCTTATAGCTATATGATCAAATTGATTTCACTTGGCCTTACATACCATTATCGATATAACTGTGGATAGACATATTCCTGCCTTCTGTCCTAATTTCACCATGCAAGGCTTTTGAGGTCTGAGAGTCTTTTGCCTCTTACAGTGATTGTCACTCACATCTAGTTGTGTGGGATTGTCGACTGCTCCCCAAGTATGAGTGTGCCACCCCCCCCCCCCCCGGGCTGCACCATCTAATTATCCTTGCTCGAGCCAGAGGACATCAGGCAGGATGATTTGATGTGGGGGTTTCCAGATCACGCTGGAGGTAATTTTGGTGAAATCTTTATGGAATGTTGTTAGCCAGGAAGAGCCAAAGTTTTCCATTTTTTAAGAGTATCTTCCCGTTTTCCTTTAGGCGCAATGATTCACTGCATCGTTAATAATAGAACATCACCTCCCCACCCCTGTGTCAGTGTGGAGACGCCACACTGACACCACACTCCACCACTGCCTCAAGGCCCCTTCCTAACCCCACCCAAAGTTTTAGTAATCTCTTTTTGAAAACTTTAATAAAAATTTCATTGTTGTTGTCTAATTCCCACTTCCCACTCTCCCACTTCCTCATTCTTCTCAATATTGTGCCCAACCCCCTAAGAAGGAGTATCTTTCTCCCCAAAATTAAAGGGTGTCAATTAACTGCCAGCGCATAAACATTTTATTACGTTTTTATACAATAATGTTAGCACAGGGTGTTTGATCATTGTATGATTAAAACTCAGTCATGAAAGCTTTGTGACTATCTCATGGTGATTCAATAAAAATTTTAAAATATATAACGGTTGATAGATGCTTTTGATAGATATATGCAGAGAGAGTTATTCACCTCACCCCCAGCAAAGTGCCCAAGACTCTCTACTTTATGCTGTATCCAGTTTACCTCATCATTTTCTTTGTTTGGTTTTGGGCCATACCTAGTGTGCTCTGAGCTTCCTCCTGGCTCTATGCTCAACGATCATTCTGGGTGGGGCTTCAGAGATCAAATGTGGTGCTGGGAATCGAACCCGGACCTGTCACATGCAAGGCAAGTGCCTTACCCACTATGCTATCACGCCAGCCCTTACCTCATTATGTTGTTTCTTTTTAAAAAATAATAGTTATTATTATTATTATTATTATTATTATTATTATTTGTTTTCTGGGGTCACACTTGGTAATGCTCAGAGCTTACTTACTTCTGGCTCTGCACTCTAGAATTATTTCTGATGGTGCTTGGAGGACCATATGGGATGCAGGGATTGAACCTGGGTCATTTGTGAGCAAGGCAATGCCCTGCCCACTGTACTATTTCTCCAACACCCCCCCCCACACACACACTTCATAATTTTCTGACACCAACTCCCCTCACTTGGAATTCTCAGTCTTATAATCTAAGACAAGGAAAACCTTCTATTGTAGTGACTTGTTTTTTTTATATATATACTGCAAATGAGTGAGATTGTCCAGCATTTCTTCTTTTTTGTTTGTATGGGGGTCATACCTGGATGTTCTCAGCACTTACTACTGGCTCTGCAGTAAGGATCACTCCAGGCAGGGCTCCGGGGACCATTTGGAGTGCCAGGGATTTAACCCTGGTTGACTGCTAGCAAGACAAGTGCTCTATTCACTGTTCATCTCTCCAGCCCAGGTATTTGTTCTCTTTCTGTCTTCATTCAACTTGATATCCTCAAGTTCCATCCAATTTGCTGCTCACTAAATAGTCACACTTGATCACTTGACTTCCCGTTAATCGTCGATTTGCTCGAGCGGGTGCCAGTAATGTCTCCATTTGTCCCTGTTGCGTGCTAGTGTAGCCCAATGGCGTCTGTTCGCTCTGGGAACATGAAGAGCCTCAAACTGGTCGTTCATGATCTTGATGAAGAAGTCTGACCATCTGGTAGGTGGGTGGCCATGCGGTCTTTTGACATCCCGTGGAATCCAGTCGGTAACAGCTCTAGTCCAGCGGTCGTCTTTAAATCTCATTACGTGACCAGCCCATCTGATTTTTGACACCTTGGCAAACGAGACAGCGTTTCTGATTCTTGATCGTTGACGGATGTCAGAACTCCGGATTCTTTCTCTCATTTGAGTGAAACGTGA